CCTGGACAGTAGGACCGTTCTGTCCGGGAATTGTCCAGGCAACCGGTTCCGTTTTACCCCAATCTCGGTCCCTGGCCAAAAATCATTGAATCGGTCAACAACTCGTTGACCCGAGGGTCAAACCGTCAACTCGTTGACCCGTTCAACGATTTTTAGCTAATTTGATTTTTAATTGTTTTTTTGTTGTTAAAATGGGCCATCCGTTCGAACCAGACGGTCAAACCATCGACCTAGAAACCAGTTGTCAAAATGGTTCCATTTCTATGTCGTTTTTTATAGATGTCAATAATTAGATAAAATAACTTTGTAGTCATAGTCATGGGAAGGGTGGACACTGCAATAAATTATAAAACCTTGAAAGATAAATCCAAAGTAACCTTAAACACTGAAAAAATTGGCGGTAAATCCACCAAACTGGAAAAATCAAGAAAAAAAATCAAAAAATCGAGTCCAAAGTTCCCCTTTGAGACAGAGCTAAACATACATGCAATCAAAGAAAGAAACAAAGCAGATCGTCTTGTAAGAAAATTAAAAAAAAAAACATTGCACAAGAAAACCCAAAGAAAAAACAAAAGGGTGGTAAACCCTAGACTGTTTTGGAGGATCTTGAAGAAGAAGACCAAACACAAAAAAAAAAAAACAAAAGCATAAAATGAAAAAAAAAGGAACATACAACACATGCTCAATTAAAGCTCATAGTAGAAGAAACCTTTGAATAGTGAGAATCCAAAAACATAAAAAATCATGGTTTTCAAACCGCCATTGACTCGAACGGATAGGCATTTCGGCCTGGGAACCGTCCAGGCAACCGATTCCATTTTACCCCAATCTCAGTCCCTGGCCAAAAATCGTTGAATCGGTCAACGAGCCATTAGCCTAGGCGGTCAAACCGTTGACCCATTGACTCATTCAATGGCTTTTGGTCATTTTTTTATTTTTTTAATTTTTGTTATCAAAATGGGCCATCGGTTCGAACCAGACGGTTGAACCATCAATCCGAAAACCGGTGGCCATAACGGTTTCGTTTTTGGGTCATATGAATCAGATGTTCGAATGGCATAACACGTATGATACTGTTTAATGGACCTCACATACTCAATTTTTTTCCTATAATTTTTGTTGTCAAAACGGGTTGTCCGTTCGAACCAAACGATCAAAGTGTCAAGCCAAACACCGATGGCCAGAATGGTTCTATAATTTTTTGCCTGTAATTTTTGTTGTTAGAATGGGCCATCCGTTCGAGTTGGATGGTCGAACCGTCAACCCGTAAACCGGTGGTAGATAAGATATATAAGATTATATATATCTTGTAATATTATAAACCATTATATATATCTTGTAATCTTATAAACCCGTAAACCGTAAACCGTCAACCCGTCAACCCGTAAACCGTCAACCATCCATTCTTGTAATTTGATAATTTTTAATGAAGAATCTTATATATATAAGATTATTTTAGTAATTAAAAATTTTGAATTTGCATATAATATATATCTTATAAAATTTAACAGATTTGATATATTTTGAGTAAAAATTATATATTTTTATGAATTGTTAAATGATAATTTAATTTATACTTTCGTTAATGTAAAAAAGTAAAAATAATAAACTAGAAAATAATTGATATAATAATTAGGATAAATATAATAAGTTCATATATATTTTTCATGTACACCATCATATATATATATATATATGTATATGCATTATTTATGGCATTTTCATATTTTTTGTTTATATCCATGCGTTTCTAAAGCGTACATGTATTCGTATCTGCATCCATGTTGCCTGATACGATACTCGATATTGACACTTTAATCCTTGGTTCAATATTAAGTATATAAAAAAATGTTCTTCAAAGTTATTTATCAACCAATAACATTCAACAAGAACCAACATCACATAGAACCTTTCCATATAAAAGAACAAACCAAGATAGTATAAATCAAAAAATGAACAAAACTAAGTAACATAAGAGAATGGGTGAACAAATAAGTTTGTAATTTTGAAGAACCAAAAATCAAAAAAAAAAGTTACCCATCAATAGGTCTTGGATTCTTGTTCTTAACTATTAAACCTTAAGGGTAAATGAGTAACGAATAAACTTAAAGGTTGAAGGATTGGAACATGACTTAAAAAGGAAATTCTCTTAATATATTATATATTATAAAATATTCTTATATATATGGGTTTATAATCGAGTATCGGGAATGGGTACCTGTGTTAAATAAAACTAGGTATCAGATACCCTAAAGTCAAAACCCATATAGGGTTTTGATAAACAAGTCCTATTAGGGTCGAGATGAGTTGTATATCCGAAAATTCCTATGAAATTGCCATCCCTACTCACACATATATTGATGATTTTTCTCTTATAAAAGATTAATTTATTTTTCATTTAATATTTTTATTTGGAAAATAATGATGGTTGTTGACACCAACATCTCTCTTTCACATCACCTCTCCTCACACTCTCTTGCTCTCTTAATTTATTTATTTTTGGGAAATTGTCTAAAACTCACCATGGGTTTTTAGCTTTCCTCTTAAACTCACCACAACTTTTTAACATGTCTAAAACTTACCATGCCACTAACTTGACGTTAAAGAGACTAACGGGTGTTAATATATTACCATTTTAATCTTCATAAAAAATATAAAATATATACAAAATAAATTAGCAAGTGTTAATATATTACCATTTTAATATTTAGACATGAAAAAAGGAAAAAGTTCAAAAAATATTTTCAAGTATAAAATACATAAAACATAGAAATTACAAAAAATATAAAAAAATATAGAAATTGCAAACAAAACAAAAATTATAGAAAATATAGAAATTGAAAAAAATAAAAAAATAAAAATTGTAGAAAAAACACCAAAAATTATAGAAAAACACATAAATTGTAAATAAATAACAAAAATATAGGAAAATTTATAGATTGTAGAAAATAGAAAAATGTAAAAAAAAAATTGAAAACTGAAAAGATCATTTTTCCTCTAACTCACCATTCAAGGGTAATATGGTCATGAAAATTGTTATTTATGCTGATGTGGACGCCTCTGTTAAGAAGCATTAACGGTGCACTAGTAGAAGGTGAGTTTTGGCAAATAAAAATTTACTGACATGGTGGATTTTAGACATTTTGAAAAGTTGTGGTGAGTTTAATAGAAATGTTGAAAACTCATGGTGAGTTTTAGACAATTTCCCTTTATTTTTTAATATTTTTATTTGAAAAGTAATGATGGTTGTTGACACCACCATCTCTTTTTCAATTCCCCTTTCCCCACCCCTCTCTCTTTCTCTCTTCAATCACATCGATCATTGGCCTCCCGTTTCTCTTTCACTCCCTAGCTATAATTAATGAAGTAAACTTAAATCAATTAACTAACTTATATTTTTAATTTTATTTAATTTGTCATGCTTCCTCTATCTTTAATTAGGGCTATAAGTCGAGCCATGCCAAGCTTGGGTTTTCAGGCCTATGGGTTGAATTCCCGATTGGATTCAAATTCAGATTCTTGCCTATCATATTTGATCGGATTCGAATTCAGATCCTTGTCTATTAGATCCTATCGGATCAAATCTGTCATGAACAATTTTAGTTCGGATTTGAATATACCCTTATTTGAATATGATTTGATCCATTTGCATCCCTAGTAAAGCGGGGAAACCTAGAGGTGATCATGAGTCGAGGTTGGGTTGGGCTAAGTCTTTTAAAACAATACATTGAGTGAAATCAAGTAACTTAACAAACATATGATATGCACTGAGAAATTTTACCATGCATATATAATTGAAGGGGGCGGGGGGGG